ACTCTTCAATGTCCTTTGTTTAGAAATTCAAGAAGCTTGAATATGGGGTCTAACAATTTTGAGTTCCTAATTGTAGCTAAGTAGGATTTGTAATGAAATACACCCAACTTTAAGAGTTGAGGTAAAAAGGCTCTTATGTACTTCGTATGTCGAAGCTGTGATTTAGATTGCAGTATGCTCTCAGTAGCCAAAACCGGGTCACGGGTTTGTGGTGAATAGGGTTTGTTGGGAGATATTTTAATGTAAACTTCTGAGGCAAATGACCTCTTTAAACAATGATAATTATAGTGCTATTTTATAATTTGTAGTCGTAGTGCACAGTTCCTTAGGAGAGAACTTCTTAGTGTTGATGGATACATTGAAAAAATAAGTTTCCATTCATTCATTGAATTTTTTAACGAATTAAATCAGAAGTGTTTCTTTGTAATCGATGATTCCAAAAAGGCGCTTTAGTGGCTTGCCGGACTTTATTTTAGGAAAAAGCTGATTCCTTTTCACAACATATCATATCTATTCAGGCATAAGGTTTGTGTGATTTCAGCACCGACATAGACTACTGATTGTAAGTTAATCATCTTATGCATTTCTTGAGTAAGTTTCAAAACTATAGATTCTACTTAATTTAAAGGAAGGCGTTGGACCAATTTTGGTGGACGCACACTTCCTGGGAAACATCGACGAGGCTCCGTCACGTGTTCACAATGCCTTGCGAAATGTCGGGAAATTTCCTCTCATTATTACCACCAACATGGACGACCTGTTAGAGCGTTTTATCTGGAAGAGTGGGAAAGGTGGCGAGACAATGCAATTGGACCAGGTCGGTGTAGAAGTTAGACTTTAAGCATTTCCAAACCCTGATCCAAAAACCTACCTACTGAGCCAAAACCTATCGAAGAGCGTTGTTCTTTAGAAGTGCTTCTGTTGAGTTAATGGTTCTTGAACATCCTGTCCCAAAAAAGAGTGGAGTAGACCCCATAGCTTTCTTAGCTAAACTCAGAGCAATCTGAGTAGTTATTCGTTCACATGTCAGTTTTGTACGCTGAAAATGCGAGGAACAGGGTGATAGTTTCTTGAGATGGTTTGAAACTTTTATTTTTAGTTGATGCTTACTGTAGTTTTCGAGTTTTTCTTTGAAAGTTAATATTTTTACATATTTTTATTTGGTTTAAGATTTCCAGTCTCTCCCAAAAATGGCCTCACCTGCAGGAAGATCTGATCATAAAGTGCCTTGGGGACAATGATGTTACTGCACGGACGTTGGTAAGTAATCTGGCGATGTTTTTTGCAATTATATCCAACTTCAACTGACCATACGTATTAACCATTTTAGCTTTTAACTTCATTGACTACAGATTTGTTTCCTTTGAATTTGTCCTGCCATGTCTTAATGTCCATTATACGCATTATTGTATTTTGAAATTGCTGTTAGTAGTTAATGCTTTCAATCTTTACTTAATCCATTTTCAGTCAAGAAGGATGAAATACTTCGAGGGCTTTTGCAACACCCTGGAAAGCCCAGAAGTGCAAATGATGCAGCAAATCTTCAATGAAAGATCTGTCTTGTTTCTTGGATGTGATCCCGAGCGTCCGGAATACAAGAACTTCTTTGAAAAGTTTGCTGTTCACTCAAAGGTTCTTCTTTTTTTTCATATACATACGTGTTTCTAATAATTTTATGGCACCTTTGTGATTTTCTTTTGCGTTTTTCTTGTTTATATAGTGTGTCATTTAAAGTTATTAGCGATATAAGTTTCTTCTTTCGGTCTTTTGACAGATGAAACATTATACTTTCGAGACTTCCAATGATTCAGATATTGATAAAAAGGGAAATCTTCTGACTTTAAAGGCAAACATACAGCTTTGGGAATTCGTACAGTTCTTAAGTACAGGAGAAATTATAGAAGAAATAAAAGAAGGAAAGGTAAGTTGCAAATGTGGTTCTTCAAAAAATTAGAAGGATAAAATTTCCCATGGCCGGTATAAACACTGACACGCTCATCCACCAACTCCACTCACTATCTCTCTATCTCACCCACTCAGTTATTCGCTCTTTAACACACTCACTCACCCCCTCATTCCCCCCTCACTCCCTCCCTCACTCACCCCCCGACGGATTGACGGAGGTCAAAGTCAGGATATTTGGTTCAAGACTAAAACATGTTCGAGCGTAGGACTCTTCTGAACATGTTAGCGGAAAAATGTGTCTTTTGGTAATGGTTAGACTGATTCACGTTGCAAAAGGCTATCTAATAAAGTCACGAATATCTTATCTTATGTGAATTTTAAAATTGTGAATAGCACTTTAGGCAGATGTTCTGCTCCTTCTCTGATGTACTAAATGACAAAGCAACAGTAACCCCAATCTTGACGGAATTCCCCTTCAGAGGAAGTTGTCAGAATCTTCAAATGTGTCAATAACATTTTCTAAATGAAATTTCCGTAACACAGAAATATGAAAGATCTTACCTGCGGATCCAAAGGGAAGATTACCTTAGGCAACAACTTGCACTAGAAAACATGGCCTCGGAGATAATATTTCACACGATGAGCATCACAAATGCATTGTCGCCCGACGAGTACTACGAGCAGATTTCACTTCCCACCATCCAAGATATATTCTCTAAAAACCCCTTTGGTAAGTTGATGTTTTCGCTTAGTGCGAAGTATGTACTGTTTCAGAACAGCCTTCAACTGACGTACACTTAGCGAATAATCAACTCCAGGAAAAAGAAAAAAAAGGAGAAATTTTGAAGCTGAAAAAAGGAGGGAAGCAATTGAGTGTCGGTTGTAGTTTAAAAATATGAGATTAAGCAGGGAGAGACAAAGGTTCGTAGCGACGAAGAAGTGGAGAGGGGAGAATGGAATGACCTGGCAAAGGAAAGCGTGAATCTAAAGTCAACTTTATGGAAATCCAAAGAAACTAAGTCTAACGTAGATTAAAATGGCTTCATCCTTAGGCGTGTATTCCTTCGAGAAGGTTCGGTGGACTTTGGATGCGATGAAAGCAAGGCGTGACAACCTAATTCGGGTCAGTAAAACCAAAATCAAAGTAATCATAACAGCCAATTAGGACTGTTGTGATTAGAACACAAAGTAAAAAAGGCACATTGTTTGAAGTTTGGAATCTGATTGGTTGAGAGGATGGCAGGTGTTTTATGGACTAATCACGAGGCGGTGTTAAGCAAACGCAAAGCAACCCTAGCTCATTATCTTCACTGATTTGAAAATTGCCCTTTAAAACAATCAAAACAGCACCGGGCTGAAAAGCTAAACATTGCACGATGCATGATGATTTAAGATATAGGAAATTCATATATCTGCACTGCGGTGAAGAGATGATATTAAGAGATCCTTGCAGCTAAGAATACTACTGAAACGAGTAATTGATAATAGGACCTGAAAAAATTCAGGCCCGTACGGGATTTGAACCCATGACCTCTGCGATACCGGTGCAGCGCTCTACCAACTGAGCTAACAAGCCAACTGGGTCCAAATAAACCATCCAAGTAATGAATGATGATTTTAGATGTATGAAATTCATATATTTGCACCGCGGTGAAGAGATGATATTAAGAGATCCTCGCAGCTAAGAAGAGGTTTCAGGTCCTATTATCAACTACTCGTTTCAATAGTGTTCTTAGCTGCGAGGATCTCTTAATATCATTGCACGATGCTTTATGTTATGGATGATGATTTACTAACGACACATCCATCTCTACTTCAGCTTACAACAGAATCAAGTACCAAAGTGACAGCTTTGTTCTTTTACCACGGAGTGAAAAAAGAAATAGAAGCATGGAGAACTTTAGAGTGTTCATCCCCTTCATCTGAAGAAGTAAAGCAGAAAATCCTACAACATTGCAAGATTTCCATTAGTAAATACGCAAAAGCCATTCGTCTTTGTAAATCCTTCATGCGAAGTAACAGCTCCTTGGAAATTCTGATTGTTGGTGACGAAAACTTTTGTCACCAGCAAGAGACTGAGAAGGAAACTTTTGCGCTACTACGCCTGAAAGGTTAGCTTCGTCACATTAACACTTAACAACCCCACTTTACTGTGCATATTATCCATACTGCTCCTGGTACATTTCCTATGTTACTGACAAGGAGAATTTGTTTGACAATCACGAACTTCTTTATTGTGCAATCATTTTCCTTATTCTCGTGACCGTGCTGTTTCATTTAGCAGTGATGCAGTAGGTGAAACTAGATCCCAGTCACCCTAAAGGGGTCAAGACGTTAACTTCCCTATCAACAAACTAACATCTAATTTTGAAGGCGTGTAACGACCAGAATAATTCTCCATTGCATTGAATCGTTAGGTGGTGACTGCCATTATTGTGGAAGAAATGTCAGGTCTTAAGGAGCAACTTTTTTCATTATTTCCAGTGTCTTGTCAAGGGAAGCAAAAAATGTTTTGTATGCTTAATTGCTAGTTTATTGGTTTGAAAACTGCCCTAACTTTGCAACACAGGTGGAACAGATGAAGCTATTTGCTACGCTGAAACAGCCTCTTTTCCTGATGACAGAAAGTTTGCTAATTATCTCATCAAGATTAATGGTTTTGAAGTGTTTAATAAAAGGAAAGTGTACGAAAGAAGTCGTGCAAACGCTTGGAGCAACGAAGATTCCATTCTCAAACTTGCTACCGCAGTTATGAGGGAAAGTTCAGAGTTGAGAGAAAAATTTGGCATTGTTGCAATTGAAGTAAGTTGTTCAAATGTTTCACCTCATAAAACTCAGATGATTAAATAGTCTCGAAACTAATGGTGTTGAATGAAATGTTTACGTCTTTAAGTAAACAATTTGCAAATTACAACAAACTGCTGGTTTCAGGTACGGACTCTAATAAACATTGTTAACTGAAGTGAAGTTAATATCAGCCATTGTCAATGACAGTGTAGTAAATGGTTGTTTTAGTATATGCCACACAAGTTGAATAACTTTCTATCGGACCAATGTTAGCCACATCATTGTCAACGTTAGCTACATCATGAACAATTTGTTTTTTTGTTTATATATATACCTTTGTTTGTTTGTTTTTTATGTGAGTTTTTATGGTACTTCTTTTCTCCATCTCGCATTGTTTAAAAAACCCTGCTGATAGACCAGCATCCCACTATATCGGGATAACCTTCCTCAGTTTTAGCCCCTGATGTTCATATGATCATTGTGTGCTTGATTTTATCTCGACAGACAGAAGACTTAGAAGCATTAGAAACACTGACTCGGGTAAGCCAGAGAGTGATAAGCAAGCTAGACCCAGGCTACCTCGATCCACTTGGCGAAGGCAGCTTTGGCCAGGTTTTTAGAGCTAAGAAGGGCGGCCGTGATGTGGCTGTAAAGATCTTGAAGAATATCGAGAGCCGCAAACAGATAGAGGACTTTGAGCGAGAAGTGGACACACTAAGGTTAGTATAATAGTGATGTTTGAAGTATTCTATTAGTCATGAATTGACACGCGACCTTATTTTGGAACTCGATATCTGATCGATGGCTCAACCCCGGTACAGCGCTACATGTCAAGTTTCAGGAAACGAAATCTATTTTTCTCCAGCGCACGCTAATATTTTTTAATTTTTCCCCTCTGGCATCAAAGGTAATGTCTGAGAAAAATCTTCCCGACGGATTGACGGAGGTCAGAGTCCGGATCTTTGGTTCAAGGCTAAAACATGTTCAAGCGTAGGACTCTTCTGAACATGTTAGCAGAAAAAATGTGTCTTCATTAATAGCACTTTTGGCAGATATTCTGCTCGTTGCTATCAAATAGAGATTACAGATACACCACCCCAGAAGCCGAGGGTTCAATACGATGGCAGCATCAAAGCTATTCTGAGCTTTTATCGT